AAGCAAGAAGGGCTAACAACTCAAGAACCAATCCAAGAAAAAGAAGAAGGGACAATGCTTCTATTGCAAGAAAGAATGACATTACAAGTGCGAATGCAAGATTCTTAAAAATAAGAAGGAAAAGCAAGAGTCTTCCACCAACATAAGCAAAAATCTTGTGGCCATGATCTCTGAGATCAATATGATTAAAGATGATTTTGCTTGGTGGGTTGATTCTGGTATTACGCGACACGTGTTCAACAATAAAATGTTTTTCAAGTCCATGAAACCAGTGGATGAAAGCATTGTTGTTTACATGAAAAATTCTGCTACAATTCCAGTTCAAGGTATTGGAGAAGTAGAATTAAAATTTACTTCCGACAATGTTGTAACATTGACAAATGTGTTTTATGTATCGAAAGTTAATAAGAACTTCGTGTCGGCTAGTTTATTGAATAAATTTGACTTTAGACTTATATTTGAAGTTGACAAGTTTATTTTGTCTGAGGGTGGTATATTTGTAGGCAAGGGTTATCCTTGCAATGGGATGTTTAAATTGGATGTACTTGTTATTAGAAATAATAAGAATGATACTGTCTTCGTTTGAATTGTGGCATAATAGACTTCGTCATGTTAACTACAATAGAATGCATGTGACAAAACTGAAGGAAAATGCAAAACATGCATGCTGACAAAAATCACAAGAAATCCATTTCCTAAAGTTGAAAGATCTTCAAAAATCTTAGATCTCATTCATAGCGATATGTGTGATTTGCATGGCACTTCTACTTTAGGTTGTAAAAAGTATTTTGTGACTTTTATATATGATTATACTAGATATTGTCATGTTTTCTTGTTACACTCAAAAGATGAAATAATGCAAAATTCAAAACACACAAATCATAAGTTGAATTTCATTGTGAAACCTTTATCAAATGTCTAAGAATAGATAGAGGTAGAGACTATTATGATGTTACCTATTTTGAATCTGACGGGCTTTTACTTCAAGTGCAAGTTAAATCCGAATTTATACCCGTTTGACTGCAAGTATACAGGTCAAAATCGTAATGTAGCGTATGTATCAGGTTGATCTCATGAGGAGCAACTTAAAATAATTACTAGATTCCAATTTACTCTATTATTTAGACTCACAATATATTTGAGCAGAAAATTCAGAATTAAATCCGACTACAAATCTGTTTATTATCTAAAATCCTTAGCTAGATAATTGCAATATCACAAATGGAGAAAAATTCACCAAATACTTGAATCTAGGGGTAGATTCCACTTATGGCACAAAAGATCCAAATGAATGAATTTTAACACTTGTTACAACTCTTGTTTAACTAGAGATTCATTTCCAAAATTACCAAAATTTCATTCTCATGATAAAAACGGTCTAGAACAGCCTAGCTTTCCCTAATCTCTTGGTAAAACTAAAGCTGCACTTATTCATATATGAAATACAAATTTAATCCACTTGAGTGCAATTCTATTCTCATGAATTAACAACTCAAACTCTACTCATGTTATTCCATTGTTTTTACCATTTCTCAATCAGTTACAACAACTATAAACCTGTTATTGGTGATCAAACAACAACATGTAATCAAGCATATACAAATAGATAAGTTAATATAAGATACAACAAGTATAAATCACATTCAATTCAAATCACTTGGCCATAAGTTTCATCTACTCCCTAGATATAGAAATTTAGCTACTCATTGATGAAATAATAATCAAACTCATAACTTCATTAAATGAAAATATCTCAGTTTACAAGTACAAGAAAGATAAAGAAAAGCTTAGCCAAGTAATGGTGAAGCCCTCCAAGAATCTGCTATGTCTTGTACTAGATGATTACAAGATAAAACCTCCAAGTGTTCCTGCAAAATTTACTAGCTAGAGAGAGTTTGTTATCAGAAAATCTGGCTACGTATGGATGTCCAGACATCTCCCAATATCTCTGCATAAAAACTGCCCAGGAGCCCCATTTTTCCAAGTCAAATTCTACCTTTTGATTCCCAAATCTAAACTTTGTTAGGATAGTCAATAACAAAGGTTTTTGACTTGAAAATAAGCCACCTTTCTTGCCCTTTTGTCTTCTGAAGCATGTGGACCGAATTCCCTTACAACTTATAGCTGGAAAGTAGTGTAAACACAAGAGAAATGGGTGAACAAATTACAGATTTTTGGCTACAAAATGCGACTAATCAAAACGCGGCATCAACCCACGTTTTGTCAACTCGCGTTTTCAACTATGTGAGATTAGCCTCGCTTCAACTGCGATTTTCTCTATGATGAAGGCTGAACTAGCTTTTGTACAAAACACAAAAGTTGTGCCCTTTGAGTTAGCTTTACAATGCTTTAAGAATCAACCGAAGCGGAGCTTTGTAACTTGAGATATGGTCGAAATACTATCACCTGGTCAAACCCCTGTTTCGATTTTCGATCACAGAATGCAGCTTCTGTATTCTGACTTTTTGTCAATGAAAACAGAAGAATTGGATTTCGATGTCTTCATACCAATTGTAGGTCTCTTTCTTAGCTTTAAAATGGTATAAAGATCGTCTCAATCCGATAAGTGTAACTTTAGATATAGTCGAAATACAGAAGAGTGTCAAAACTGTCTTGAACTGCACTTCTTCACTTAAACGTTTTTCACTTCATTTCTCTTTTTTACCACTTGAATTCATCACCAATTATCTACTTTTCACCTCATTTGACATCCTTTGGTGATTGGATCATTAACCTACAAGAAAATGAAGTTTTTACCATTAAAATCAATAGAAATGCAATATTAGCCATTTTTACAAAAGTTGTATATTTTTACCAAAACCTAGTTATTTTAGTTATAAAACTAAATAATCAAACCAAAATTAACTAATAAAATGTACTTAAAAATACGTAACATAAACTCTTATCAAATACCCCTACACTTGAATCATTGCTTGTCCTCAAGCAATATGAAATTCCAACCATCAATGATCCAAAGATTGAAAATAAACATATGTAGCATTTCAACTTCATTTCCTTGAATCAAGGTAAATAACCCTTATGTGATCTTTCAATTAACCTCAAGTACTCATAATATCAAGCAAAGGAGAGCCAAGTATACTACAATTTTACTAATTCAACTCAATTTCTCATTTTTACCCAATTTCACAAACAAGCAACTCATATAGTCAATAAAGATACTAACTAATTTCATGATCAACTTCTTTATTTTTCTTAAAGAGGGATTTATTTTCTTTTATATATATATATTTAGAGTTAAATACTACTTAAGTTGTGAAAAATGCTTTTTGACGCGAAAATCAACATTGTTAGCTGAAGATCACCGGTTACTCAACATTTCACATACTCAAGTTGCTTTTCATACTCTTAATTCAAATACCGTTTTACGCGAAAGTCGACATTTGTAGATGAAGACTCCCGGTTACTAAGTACAAGAACCATTGGAGTAGAATACTCCTTTTTTTTAAAATATAAATATATGTATAGAGAAATAATAAAATTTCCTCTAAAGAATAATCATAAGAAAAGTATGACACGTACTGACCATATTAATTTCTTAACTTATAAAATCAGATAAAAAGAAGAATTTTCATCAAATATGCAAGATATAGGCATAATTTTCTCCACTTTACTAGATATACTTTCCTATAGATGTAAAAATTATAATCACATAATAGTCATTTCCAAATTAAATGAGAAAAGAAGTTTCAAAATCACATATATTTATTTCAAAAGGTTAAGTGACAAAATTTTATTTGTTTATTTAGTATAAATATAAGATTTTGAAAAAATTTTGATAGAGTCTCCCCTTAAAAGTGGACTAAAACTCCCTTCCAGCAAACCATAAGAAACAAAATTGAAGCATAAGAAATATTGCCAATAACATAACCAACATCAAACACAACTAAAACCACAAGTACCACACATATTTCCCCCCACACTTAAAATACACATTGTTCTCAATGTGTAGGGAAAGAAAGAAAGAAAAAAAGAAAAGAAAAGAAAGAAGTACTTTCCAAGGCAATGGCTGAGATCCTTATCAGCCATTAATCACGAACCACTGCCAAAATATAAGTACCTACCAAATAGAAAACAAAAGAAAAACACAAAATAAAATGAAGTTAAGCAACTTAAGTTCCACAAGTTAAGACAATCAGACAAGCAATCCAGAAACAAAAGATGGCATCTTCAGTGTGCCAAGTCAGTCATCCCCCTCAGTATCATCATCATCCTCTGCATCACGATTGGGCGGTGGATGAATGCCCAATGATCTTCAATTCGGCTTAGACGATTCCTAATGTTAGCAAACTGGTATGCAAAGTCGTCCATAAGGTCAAAAAGTCGCTGTCAATTAGTCTGTGGCGGAGGAGGAGATGGTGCTGTAGTAGATGGTCCAGCTTCATCTCGACCATGTCTAGCCTTCTATCTCCGTTCCTGAACAGAGCGTGGAACGTCCCCCGTGCCAATACCAAGTCGACGGAGAGTAGTGATAGACAATTCAACTCGTGGTGGAACATTCTCCCGCCTCCTGTCTTCCAAGCGAACCTCAAAATGTGGGAAAATCAAGGTTAGTAGACGAGAAAATGATAATTTGAAAGAAGTCGTCTTACGCCTCGCCGTAGACCGAATATGGCTGATGATGATATTAGGCAGTGAAATGTGAGCATATGGAGACGTCCGGTTATGGAACATGTAACCAAGAAGTAGATATCACTCTTGCGAATCTCCGTGTGCCCCGTTTTCTTAGGAATGACATTGTGAGCCATCATATAAATGATAAGACGATGACGAGGTTCGAAGACATTCACAACTATGGTCTCCTTCCTTGTAGAGCGAAAAAGTTGGTACTCGAGACCGAACCTAGCCATGGCCAACGAGGGATCCCACTTCTTATTTGGGGGAACAAACTCCTTCTTCAAATCTACTGGACGTCCGTCATCCATACACCCCAAAATAGCGGCCAAATCTTGACGTGACAAGACGATTCGTCTTCCACGCACTCAGGACTCAACCATTTCTCTACTATGATGCGCCTTACTCCCAATATTGGCGTAAAATTCTCGCACCAAATCGGGGTAGTAATGGTCTGGTAGGGTGAGAATCGGAGCCCATCCAAGTTGAGCAAAAGTCTCCGAGATGTTGTACATCATCTCAACTAGTGGACTCACGTGCATCTCAAACAAGAACTCCAAATTAGCATGCTCCTCATGCCATTTTTTATTCCTACGATTGTTGAATCTCGCACTGTCGAACACAGTGGTTGCCGCTCCATGGGAGGTGCCCTCTCCTGACTGTCGAGAAACTGGTGGCGGAGAAGGTGAACTCTCCTCCTCAGACACTTTCATTTCTTCATTAGCCTCCCTCTCCTCACTGCTGGAGGATGAAGGTATCACTCTTCTTCCCCTTGGCATAGTACCTAAAAAATTTTCAATTAACCACATGTACTAGGACACAACTCATTATTTGGCAATAAATATCCTGAATTGATCCAAATAATCTCAAATTCATTCCTTCAAAATATAACTCGTCCGATAATTTATTTATAGGAGCAAAACAAGAAGAAATATAATTTATGCCAAAAATTGTCCATAATCACCAACTGAAACAAGATAAAAAATAATTATAACTCAATCAGTGACAATAGCAAAAATCATGATTATAACTATCTAGAATTACCAACAATAATGTGCATTTAGCTATAACCATGGTTAGGCAAAAATTAAACTAATTAACTCACAAAATCAACCAAATTGTTCACTATACACAATGCACATACTAAAACATCATCAACTAATCATTCTTAACCATAATTAATAATCACCAATGGCTCAAAAACATCCTAAATCCATTTCCCAATTTCCTCCAAATATAGCAATTGTGAATTTTTAAAGCAATAATGACCAACAAATTGCTACATTTAAACATATAAATATGCTTAAACAATCTTAATAAGCATGAATAAATTCAAAAATAGTCATATACATCATGAAATTTTCGAATTTAAAAGATGTTAGAAAGCTCAGAATAAAAAATATGAACTTCTAAAATCAAAAGATTTGATGAAGAAACTTACCTCAATCTCGTAAAAGGATGTTTGGTGATGCTAAAAATGTGAAAAGCCCTATGAAACAACCTCCAATTGACCTCCAATTGAAGAAATTAGAGTTCAATAACCATAGCTTTCAATCCCTCAAAAACCTGATTTTAGATGTTTTTCTTGGATTTTAATCGGTTAAAAAGATTCTATGATACTCAAAAGGTGTTGGGTTGATGATTTCTAGCAAGATTATGGAGTAAAAATGAAGATTGGTGAATTGGGTAGAAAAGGAGAAGAAAAACGCGACTGAATTTGCAAGAGAAGCAGGAAAAAATGAACTGAAATCGCGTTTTTGGAAGCTATATTCGGACACAGAAAACGCGACTCAAAACGCGCCTTCAACTCGCATTTTTGAAGTCGCGTTTCTTAGCAAATGTCGCAATAATGAAAACGCGACTATGTTGGAAAACGCGACTTTGAATCGCGTTTTTGAAGTCGCGTTTTTTAGTTTTGATCCAGGCTTAAAACGCGACTTTGCTGAAAACGTGACTTACTATCGCATTTTAAAGCGCGTTTTCTTCTTTGTGATTGCAGAATTGAAAACGTGTTTTGATGAAAACGCGATTCAGGAGCGCGTTTTCATGCTAGGCGCGTTTTCTTCTGCAATTTTTTTGCAGAAAATGTACTTTGAAAAATTACCATTGGTACCCCAATCACTCAAAATGCATCATAAATTATTTGTTTACCAAATTTATTGATGTGCACACATGTAAAACATTAAAAACATGCATTTTACCCCTTTTCAACAGATCAAATACACCTTTAACGCAAATCAACGGGTTGAGTTGCTTGATCAAAGTTCGCATTTTTCACCTCAAATGGTCATTCTTTCTTCCATTTGCCAACCCTATAGTAAAAAAACAACAAATCAACTAAAATACATATATTAAAAACAAAATCACTCCAAATTAACACATATAACTTAAACATTGGGTTGCCTCCCAATTAGCATTTTTGTTTATAGTCGTTGGCTCGACTCACAGGTTTAGATTTTTTTAGAACATTAGGGAGCGATTTTCTCCCTACGGGTTGAAACTCCCAAGCCAATCCACCCTGTGGTGAGTCATGCATTGATCTCCAAAGTCCAATTTCCTCAAATGCCAAGGAGGAGTATTAGACTTGTCATATAAAGGCTCGAATTCACCTTGGAGTGGAATTTGCTTGTCTTTCTTGAGTTGGCTCAACTTTTCTCCACTTTTTTCATGGAATGGCGAATTTATTAAGCCAACTTCCATCCTTATCTTCTATTCCCTTGCTCCTACACCATGAAAGTTAGTACCAAGGACATTTATAAATTTAATTTCTTCGTTCCTTTCTTGGTTAACCTTTTCATCACATGGCATATTAGAAACAAGAGCAGTAGGCCCTATACTCCCTTCTTTATTATCCAAATTGAATTCCAATTCCTCACCATTAACCCGTAATATAAGCTTACCTTTTTCAACATCAATTATAGTTCGTGTGGTGGCTAAAAACGGTCGTCCTAGAATAATTGACATTCTCACATCTTCCTCAATATCTAAGACAGCAAAATCCACAAGTATTATAGATTGTCTTACCCTTATGAGCACATTTTCCAAAATACCGATTGGATGTGTGATTGACCGATCCGCCAATTGCAATGTGATATTGGTAGCTTTCAACTCTTGAAGTCCCAACCTCCAGGCAACCAATAATGGCATAAGTGATACACTTGCACCTAAATCACATAAAGCATTAGAAAAATGCAATTGACCAATAGTGCAAGGAATAGAAAAACTTCCCGGATCTTTTAATTTAGGAGGGAGTTTGTTTTTAATTAATGCACTACACTCTTCCGTTAATGCTATCATCTCATTATCTACAATTTTCCTCTTCATTGACATGATATCTTTCAAGAAAAGCGCATAAGAGGGAATCTGTGTTATAGCATCAATGAAAGGAATGTTAATACGCAATGGTTTAAACATTTTGAAGAACTTTTCAAACTCCCGATCCTGTCCATCTTTCTTCAACCTGTGAGAAAAAGGAATCACATTAGAATTTAATTGAGGAGGAGGTTCATCAATATTAATGACTACATTATCATTTTGGCTTGGTTTTACTCCTTCATATGCTTGCTCCTTATCTTTTTCACCACTTGAATCACTAGAGTCAGGTCCTTCAACCATTTTACCACTTCTAAGAGTGATAGCATTGACATGCTCTCTCGGATTCACTTCGATTTTACTTGGCAATTCACCAGGGTTTCTGTTGTTGATCACATTGGCAATTTGACCAATTTGAACCTCCAAGTTTCTGTACATCCCGGCCAATTGGTCCAACTGTCCCTCAACTCGCTCGAATCTATCCGAAGTCACCTTAGCAAGCTTTTCAACTGCGATCTCCCAACTTGGTTTAGTTTTCATTTGTGGTTGTCTCGGTTGAAATCCCGACGAATTTGCTAGCCTTGGTTGATTGCCTTGATCTTTCCATTCAAAGTTTGGATGATTACGCCACCCTGGATTATAGGTATTGGAGTATCGGTTATTTTGGGGTGGACGGTTGTAATTATTGAGATATTGAACCTGTTCACTGCTAGAATACATAGAATCATCATGGTTTCCTCCATAGTTATTACAACACGCAACAACTACTCCTTGGTTAGAACTAGAACCAACTTGCCTGTTAAGTATCTTAACCACATTATCCATCTTTGCAGTTAACATATTCAAGGTATCTACTTCAAGCATACATGCGGTTCTCCTTATATTACCTCGTTCGTTAGCCCATTGATAATTATTAGCTGCCATTTTTTCAATCAATTGTTGAGGTTCCTCGGCTGACTTTCCCATCAACGCTCCTCCCGCTGCCGCATCTACATGCGTCTTTGTCGGATAGGTGAGACCATTGTAAAATGTTTGGACTATTAGCCAATCTGGTAAACCATGATGAGGACATCTTCGTTGTAACTCCCGATAGCGCTCCCAAGCTTCGTACAATGTCTCTCCTTCCTGTTGAGAGAAACTAGTTATATCCATTCTAAATTTAGCAGTTTTTCCAGGTGGAAAGAATTTATTAAGAAAAGCCTTAGCTAATTCAACCCAAGTAGTAAAAGTATTTGGAGGATGAGATTGTAACCAAACCTTGGCCTTGTCCCTTAGCGAAAATGGAAACAATCGAAGTTTAATTGCATCATCACTAACACCATTAAATTTAAATATATCACAGATTTCAAGAAATATTGACAAATGAAAATTTGGATCTTTGGTAGCATTACTTCCATATTTAGATTGTTGTACCATTTGAATCAGTGATGGTTTAATCTCAAAATTATTAACATTTACCGTTGGTCTTGCAATGCTAGTTTGAGATCCTTGTGTACCCGGTAAAGCAAAATCTCGTAGAGGTCACCTATTTGCCTTGTTTTCGGCCATTTCTTCTTCAAATGGTAGCTCTATTAAAATTTCCTCTATCGGTTGCCAAACTTCTTGTTCCTCTTGCTGTGGTGTATCCCTCCTTTGTCTACGTAACGTCCTTTCAATTTCTGGATCGAAAGGTGCCACTTCTCGAGATGTCCGGTGCATGCACTACAAACAGAAATAAGAAAGATTATGCAACTTTTATTTATCAAAAACTGATTAAAATGTTAAGCCAGCTATAGACAGCTCAACTAAAAATAAAGATGTCTAAATTAATAGAGATGGTTAGACTCTAATATTGCCGCTCCTCGGCAACGGCTCCAAAAACTTGACAGGCTTTTACTTCAAGTGCAAGTTAAATCCGAATTTATACCCATTTGACTACAAGTATACATGCCAAAATCGTAATGTATGGTATGTATCGGATCGATCCCACGAGGAGCAACTTAAAACAATTACTAGATTCCAATTTACTCTATTATTTAGACTCACAATATATTTGAGCAGAAAATTCAGAACTAAATCTGACTACAAATCTGTTTACTATCTAAAATCCTTAGCTAGATAATTACAATATTACAAATGGAGAAAAATTCACCAAATACTTGAATCTAGGGGTAGATTCCACTTATGGCACAAAAGATCCAAATGAATGAACTTTAACACTTGTTACAACTCCTGTTTAACTAGAGATTCATTTCTAAAATTACCAAATTTCATTCTCATGATAAAAATGGTCTAGAACAACCTAGTTTTCCCTAATCTCTTGGTAAAACTAAAGCTGAACTTATTCATACATGAAATGCAAATTTAATCCATTTGAGTGCAATTCTATTCTCATGAATTAACAACGGAAACTCTACTCATATTATTCCATTATTTTTACCATTTCTCAATCAGTTACAACAACTATAAACCTGCTATTGGTGATCAAACAATAACAAGTAATCAAGCATACACAAATAGACAAGTTAATACAAGATACAACAAGTATAAATCATATTTAATTCAAATCATTTGGCCATAAGTTTCATCTACTCCCTAGATATAGAAATTTAGCTATTCATTGATGAAATAATAATCAAACTCATAATTTCATTAAATGAAAACATCTCAGTTTACAAGTACAAGAAAGATAAAGAAAACCTTAGCCAAGTAATAGTGAAGCCCTCCAAGAATCTGCTATGTCTTGTACTAGATTATTACAAGATGAAACCTCCAAGTGTTCCTGCAAAATTTACTAACTAGAGAGAGTTTGTTATCAGAAAATCTGGCTACGTATGGATGTCCAGATATCTCCCAATGTCTCTGCATAAAAACTGTCAAAGAGCTCCATTTTTCCAAGTCAAATTCTACCTTTTGATTCCCAAATCTAAACTTTGTTAGGATAGTCAATAACAAAGGTTTTTGACTTGAAAATAAGCCACCTTTCTTGCCATTTTGTCTTCTGAAGCATGTTCACCAAATTCCCTTGCAACTTATAGCTAGAAAGTAGTATGAACGCAAGAGAAATGGCTGAGCAAATTGCAGATTTTCGGCTACAAAACGCGACTAATCAAAACGCGGCATCAACCCACATTTTGTCAACTCGCTTTTTCAACTCTGTGAAATTAGCCTCGCTTCAACTGTGATTTTCTCTATGATGAAAGCTGAACTAGCTTTTGTACAAAATACAAAAGTTGTAGCCCTTTGAGTTATCTTTACAATGCTTCAAGAATCAACCAAATTGGAGATTTGTAGCCTAAAATATGGTCGAAACACTATCACCAGGTCAAACCCCTGTTTCGATTTTCGACCACAGAATGCAGCTTCTGTATTCTGACTTTTTGTCAATGAAAACAACAGAATTGGATTTCGATGTCTCATACCAATTGTAGGTCTCTTTCTTAGATTTAAAATGGTATAAAGATCACCTCAATCCAATAAGTGTAGTTCCAGATATAGTCGAAATACCGAAAAGTATCAAAACTGTCTTGAACCGCACTTCTTCACTTAAACGTTTTTCACTTCATTTCTCTTTTTTACCACTTGAATTCATCAGCAATTATCTACTTTTCACCTCATTTGACATCTTTTGGTGATTGGATCATTAACCCTGCAAGGAAATGAAGCTTTTACCATTAAAATTAATAGAAATGCAATATTAGCCACTTTTACAAAAGTTGTATATTTTTACCTAAACCTAGTTATTTTAGTTATAAAACTAAATAATCAAACCAAAATTAACTAATAAAATGTACTTAAAAATACGTAAAATAAACTCTTATCAGAATCTATTAGGATAAACTATGAGGTGACTGCTCCTTATACACCACAACAAAATAGTGTAGGCGAAATGAAAAATCGTGTATTGATAGAAATGATTAATGCACTTTTATCACATTCTGGACTAAGTCATGGATTTTGGGGTTAAACCTTGTTAACGGTTTGTCATATCCTAAACAAAGTTCCTAATAAAAGCAGTTTCATAACTCCTTATGAACTTTGGAATTAAAAAAAAGCCTAATGCAAACTATTTGAAAGTTTGGGACTGTAGGGCTATTGTAAAACTCCTAGAATCTAAGAAAAGGAAATTGGGAGAAAGAGGTGTGAAGTGTATATTCTTAGAATATGCACAAAATAATAAAACATATAGGTTTATGGTAATTGAATCTAATGATTTAATTTCGATTAATACTATAATTGAATCTAGGGATGCTATTTTGAAGAAAATAAATTCACCTCCATAAAAGATGTTATTCCAAAATCAAGTGAATTTGACAAAAGATGGTGAAAATGAAATCATTGAATTGAGAAGAAGCAAAAGAGCTAGAAAGTCAAAAGATTTTGGCTTGGACTTCTATATGTATCTAGTCGAAAGAACTAGAAATACATTGAGCAATCAAGTCCCTTACTGCTTCAATACTGAGGCTGATCCCAAAACCTATGAAGAAGCAATGAAATCTCAAGATGCACTTTTTTGGAAGGAAGCTATAAATGATGAGATGGACTCAATTATGGATAATAAAACCTAAAAATTAGTAGACTTGCCACCTGGTTCAAATCAATTGGTTGTCAGTGGATCTTCAAAAAGAAAATAAACATTGATGGAACTGTTGATAAGTTCAATGGCAGGTTGGTTGCCAAAGGGTTTACACAGAAATATGGTGCAGACTATTTTGACACATATTCTCCAGTAGCTGCTAGAATTGCTACAATTAGAGTATTACTTGCTATAGTTTCTATCCAAAATCTAATCATTCACCAAATGGATGTTAAAACAGCATTCTTGAATGGTGATTTGAATGAAAAAGTATATATGGAACAACGCAAAGGGTTTGTAATAACTGGTCAAGAGTATAAGGTGTGTAAACTTGTAAAGTTTTATATGGACTAAAGCAAGCACCTAACTAATAGCAATTCATTGAATGATTCATAAGGACTTAATGTAAAATTGGACTTACTTGTAAATAGAGAGATATTTCGCAACGGAAGTTTGTAGGATTGCTGAATCCTTGATACTTCTTTATTGATATTTGAAAAGATTACAAAAGCTTGAATACAAGAGTAGGTAGGGGAATATTCTGATTGATTCTGATTTATCACTTCTGGAACAGGAGTTTTATATTTAAAAGTTGAAGTACTTTCTAAAGGAAAATTTATCTCAGTTGATTCATAATTAGAATGTCTCGGGGGTAACCAAGAATAAGTTGAATTAGGTCTTTCTCTTAATGATGAAAATCTTATTAAAGTTTTGCCATCAGGTTTTTCTATAATATCTTCTACATCAGTTTGTTCTATATTTCTGGCTATTTGTGGATTTTGTATTTCAAATTCACTAGGTATAGTTATTTCATTCCATTTTAATCTTTTTGGAGTATAAGTAGTAGGTCTATCAGCATCTACTTGTAATAAAGTTGTTTCTTCTTTAAGAGTTGGAGTCATTATAAACTTAGGATTTAAATGTGAGGATAACGGTCTATAATATATTCTATATATCACTGCAAAATTCTTTGTATGTTTTTCAAATTCATTTCCTTGTAAATGAATATCTAAAATGACTGAATTTAAAATATGTGGGTCTGTTAGATCTATTGAAAAATTTGGAGCACAGTTAAAATATATGGGTCCATTGCAAACATTTGTTTGAATCATAGATAGTAAAGAAGTTTTATATCGTTTGAGTCTAGTGTCTCTTAATGCTAAATATATTGGAGCATCCACTCCTAGATGGAATAAAGGTTTTACAGCAATTTGTATTAAACCTATATGAATATATCGATATCCTTTACTTAAATATTTTTGAATTGTACTATGATTTAATAATGGAATTAATTGATATTCTTCTTGAATAGATATTGTTTCTTCATGTGTTTTAACTGATAAGGCTGTTTTGAAATCTAACGGGCCTATTCTATAAATATGTTCTATCTTTTCTTCTGGAATAGTCCAATCTGAATTATTAACAGGCATATGATATTCATGACTTTGTACTATATTATCTTGCTTTGAGTTAGATCCTATTTTTAATTGTCTAAGAAATGCAGCTATGTTGTATATTTAATTAAAGTTTTACCTAATCAGGAACAACTGAGCGCTATGCCGGGAACATCCTACCCTGGACTTACCAACGGTCTAACAAGGCATCAAAGTCTTACCAATGATTTCAGTAAAAGTTTAATAAAATATATAAACATAAATGCATGAATTAGCCAAATCAAAATAGAAACGTAATTCAAATAAAGAAATAGTAGTTCAAAATCTTAAATATGCATGTGCATGTATAATTCTATGTGGCTCTGATACCACTTCTACCCAGGCTACTGAATTCCTTGAATGATTCATAAGGACTTAATGTAAAATTGGACTTACTTGTAAATAGAGAGATATTTCGCAACGGAAGT